TGTATCCGAAAATGCTATTGGAAATGAGTTATTGTTTTTGGAGCGCGCAGTAGCAACGCTGAGTTTGATTTTAAATTTTTAAAAGTTGTGCGTTCATATACAAATATGATGATGAACGAATTTTTTACTGGTAAATTTTCTGTCAAAGTGGCATGAAATATATTGTTCAATAATTACAGTAATGATTTAATTGGCAAATTTATTTTTATAAATTTATAAATCTTAAAGGTTTTAAGCGATTCTTATATAGACAAACGCCGTACCCATCGGCGGTTAATTAGTGCAGGGTTAAAAGCTGAAAATAAAGTGTATATTCTTTCTGTGCAGGACCAGTGCTTGCTAAGTGGAAATTACCAGGCAGATAAAGTGAAAAATTATGTTGACCCCCAAATGCTGATTCTGTGATAAATATCCAGAAACAATTGATCATTTTATATCAGGTTGCACAGTGTTGGGACCAACTGAGCATAAATGAAATCCGGTCTCAAAATGAATGACAAACGCAGGAATGAAATATAGCAAATAAATGTATTGACGTAATAATACAATTGGTAATACGGTTAGTAGATCCAGAAATGCGGTTAGTAGCAATGATAATATATATAGAGTCTGGGAAATTCAGTATCGAAGTATGACTTCCTTCTGAGTCTACGTGCTCGCAACTGTGACTCCTACAAAGCGGTTACCTCATTCTCTTACTGTATCACTGTATCAGTGTATCTCTCGTCTATATCCCGGGTGTTTACTGGCAGCAGTACAAGTACACACTGGGCGAGTCCACTAGTATGAAAAAGGGGGGTACCCCTTAACAGATAAATAAAGAGGAAAGTGAGCTTGGAAAACTTGACACTCAGATGACATATTGAATGCAATATTATCACTTACATGAATGAGATTATTTTGAAAAGTAATTAGTTAGGCTACAAAGATACCGAGTCATAGGTATAACGATAAACTCCATCCGGCAGAGAGGGCTCTGACCGGGGGATTTTGATGTTGCGTGGAACCAAGTCTTAATTGCTACTGTTCCCAGGTACAAAAGTTAACCCACAAACTTTCTTCAAAAAACTATCAAAGTATAAAAATATATTTTTATAGTAAAGATACCAGTAAAAAAAAAAATAATACCATCAATACATTCAACTCTCGACACAAATTCTCTTTACAAAAATACGTCAATAAAACCTGATTTGCAAAGTGATATCTTCCAAAGAATACATATTTAATTCATACGAACGTATCTTAAAAAAATCTTGCCGGCAATAACTCTAGAACACTAACCATCAATTAAAGTTACACCACTACTAACCATGGGTATATCATACCCGATTTTGAAAATATCAACACAAATATTAAATATAAATCTTTATTTGAAATATTTTACATACTGGCACTTCAAACTTTGTACGTTGAGTAAACATTAATAGGAACTGAAAAACATATTATTTAGATTTTTAAAAAAGATTTTAAATCAGGTACTGAAACTTGTAATTAAAAATAGGAAAATTTGCTTTGGGTACTATATACCCTTGGTTAGTGTTCTAGATTTAAATAACTCATTGAGGTTGACATGACGTAAAACAAAATAATCTAAACCAAATAAGATTGTCAACAAAAATCCTCTTAACTAAGATACGTCAATGAAATTTATCTACAAGTGTTTTCTTTTACATATTCTATTCATACGAATCTATCCTAAAATATATCATTGAAACCAAACTAAACCAAAAATACATATTTATTTCATACGAACCTATCCTAAAAATCTTGCCGTCATCAAGTAACTCACTAAGGTTGATATGAGGTAAAACAAAATAAACAAAACCCAATAAAACCCAACAAAAATCATCTTTACTAAATTACGTCAATGAAATTTATGTACAAACGGATTCTTACAAAGAATACTTATTCTATTCATACGAATCTCTCCTAAAAATCTTGTCGGCATTAAATAACTCATTGACGTTGATATGCCGTAAAACAAAACAAACGCAACCAAACTAAACCAAAGAATACATATTCTATTCATACCAATATATCATAAAAATGTTGTTGGCATTAAATAATCCACTGAGGTTGATATGACGTAAAACAAAATAAACCAAACCAATCTAAACCAAAGAATACATATTCTATTCATACGAATCTATCCTAAAAATCTTGTCGGCATTAAATAACCCATTGAGGTTTATATGCCGTTAAACAAAAGAAACCAAACCAATCTAAACCAAAGAATACATATTCTATTCATACGAATCTATCCTAAAAATATTGCCGGCATCAAATAACCCATTGAGGTTGATATGCCGTTAAAGAAAATAAATCAAACAAATCTAAACGAAAGAAGACATATTCTATTCATACGAATCTATCCTAAAAATGTTGTCGGCATTAAATAACTCATTGAGGTTGATATGCCGTTAAAGAAAATAAGCGAAACCAATCTAAACCATAGCATACATACTCTATTCATACGAATCTATCCTAAAAAATATTGCCGGCATTAAATAACCCATTGTGGTTGATATGCCGTAAAACAAAATAAATCAAACCAATCTAAACCATAGCATACATACTCTATTCATACGAATCTATCCTAAAAAATATTGCCGGCATTAAATAACCCATTGTGGTTGATATGCCGTAAAACAAAATAAACCAAACCAATCTAAACCAAAGAATACATACTCTATTCATACGAATCTATCCTAAAAATCTTGCCGGCATTAAATAACCCATTGTGGTTGATATGCCGTAAAACAAAATAAACCAAACCAATCTAAACCAAAGAATACATATTCTATTCCATCGAATCTATCCTAAAAATATTTCCGGCATTAAATAACCCATTGAGGTTGATATACCATAAGACAAAATAAACCAAACCAATCTAAACCAAAGATTACATATTCTATTCATACGAATCTATCCTAAAAATATTGCCGGCATTAAATAATCCATTGTGGTTGATATGCCGTAAAACAAAATAAACCAAACCAAATAAGACTCTCGACAAAAATCTTCTTCACTAATATATGTAAATGAAATTTATCTACAAACTGATTTCTTACAAAGAATACGTATTTTATTCATACCAAACTATACTAAAAATAAATAACTCATTGAGGTTGATATGCTGTAAAAGAAAATAAACCCACAAAGCTAAACAAAGATATTGATGCAGCTACGGAATCAAGTGTATGGATTTATAGAGGTATGTATATAATGTTCATATTCGCGCTTAAATAAAATTTAATCACAAGGGAGGACATTATGGAAAAAAAATATTTGTTTTGGAAGCCAATTTTTGTTTCCATTAATATGCTACAATATTATGGACCTACTTACTAATCGATCTCGTTCATTTTCAATTTTTCTTGTCTTAGTCATTGAAAGTTAGAAACGTATGATAGAATAAAGACCAAATAAGAATTTCATATCAATCTTACATGTTCCAATTTATTAAAGTTTCGTCAGAGATTGAGAGAAAATGAGGATTGTTATTGGTTTCTAGTTCATTCTTTAAGAATTTATACTTTGTATAAGTTAGATTCTTTAAGAATGGATTCCAAGAAAGATGGCGATTTACTGTATTGTTCTAGGCCTGTGTTTATAATTGATGATAATGTTATTTTTCAATGTATTTTCTCTATAAAAAATTATCTTCTTTTCTAATTAGGGTGCCATTAGTGAAATCAAAGTTATGCTCAACATCGTTTACACCCCACTGTATAGTCTGACTGCGCAAAGGTGAATATATGAGAACTCCCACTAGAGAGACACGCATACACAATTACAGATACATATCACCATCGGATGCCCACTTAGACAAACAACAATCTTCACAGACCTACATACATCCTTAATCTCCATTTGATCTCTAACTCAAACAAAACTATATATATATATATATATATATATATATATATGTGTGTGTGTGTGTGTGTGTGTGTGTGTGTGTGTGTGCGTGTGTTTGTGTGTGTGTGTGTGTGCTTGTGTGTCAATAGGTTTCTTACTGCAAACTTTTTATCTGATATCTCTCTTTCGCTCTCACACACTCTCTCTCTCTCTCTCTCTCGATATTTACCTCTGTCGCTTTCTCCTCCTCTCACTCTGACGCTCCCTCTCCCCTGTTTCTATACATCTGCCTCCTCTATATATCCTCTCTCCCCCCCTCTCTCTCACTCTATCTATCTATCTATCTATCTATCTATCTATCTATCTATCTATCTATCTATCTATTTCTTAGCCCTGTCTTTCTACCTCTCGATGTCTCCCCAATTCTCCTTCCCTCTGTCGCTCTCACTCTGTCTATATCTCACCCTATCACTTCCTCCTTCTGTCCTCTCTCTCCCTATCCCCTCTCATTTCTCTCTACCAATCTCTTCCCCTTTACCCTTTCACTCCATATCTAGCCAAGCCTTGCGATTTTTTTCTCTTCTACTTTCTCCATCTTTTTCCATTTCTCTCACTCAACCTCACCCACCCTCTTTCCCTCGCTCTCTCTATCTCTCCCTCATCTCACTCCCTAGCTCTCTTTTCTCTTCTCTCCCTATAACTTCTTCTCTCTCTCTCTCTATCTCTCTGGCTAACCATCTCCCTTTTTATCTTCACCACTATCTGTTTATATCCCCCTCTCACCCCTTTTCATTGCCCCCTCTCTCTGTCTCTCACCCTCTCTCACTCTTTGCACAGTCACCTTTTTGTTGCCTCCCCCTCACTCTTATCAATATAGTTAGGAAGCATTTGGAAATATTGCAATTCTCTTCAGCGTGATTCGTGATTTTTTACCTCCACTGATTGAAGATGCAATGAGAAAACGAGTCTTGCAAAGAAAAAGAAAAAAAGAAAAAGAAGGCTTATTTACTTAGAATATGGACGCCTTTTCTTATTTCTTTTTATTTTCGTAGATTTTTAGGAAATTTCTAATCTGAAGAATTATTGCGATCAGGAATGGGAAATGGAAAATACGAAAAAAATATGGTTGGAAATAAAAGTAGTCATTGATGGATCGCAAAATATAAGCGTAGATAGATAGATAGATAGATAGATAGATAGATAGATAGATAGATAGATACATACATACATACATAAATAGAGAGCGATAGAAAGAGATAGAAATTAGAAGAGATTTTGATGTATAAACAGAGAGAGACTAAAAGAGACATTTCTAATAAGTAAATATATTAAAAAAGACTTTGATAGATAGAGATGAGTAGATAGATAGATTAGAAAATATTTATATATATATATATACTTAGATAGATAGAGAGAGAGAGACTAGAAGAGATTTCGATAGATAATTAGACAGAGAAACTAGAAGAGATTTTGGTAATAAATAGATATTTAAAAAGATTTTTTTGATAGATAGATAGATAGATAGATAGATAGATAGATAGATAGATAGATATAGAAAGAAAGAGAGACCAGCAGAGTTTTCGATAGATAAATAGACAGACTAGAAGCGATTTTGATAACAGATAGATATATTAAAAAGGATTTTGGTAGAGCGAGAAAGTGATGAATAGATAGGTTAGAAAATATTCATATATATATATATATATATATATATATATATATATAAGCATTGTGCCCCAAGCAAGGCGTGAAGCCACTAGGATGCAGGGGGTTGCGGAAGATTTGGAGCGAGAGCAGATAAGAGTGATAGGAGAAAGGATGAAGAGAAGGATAGTGGGTAGATCAAGGTAACTGGAGATATCGATTGACATTACATTTGAATAGTTGAAGATTATAGCTTTCAGGGAAACGGTAATTGGGGAGGGTGTTCCACTGGCGAGAGGTGCGAGATATGAAGCTATTGGAGTAGAAGAGACGGCTACATTTGAAGGTTTCTACGGTGTAAGGGTGGGAGCGGGATGCCAGCCTCGTAGGGCGCTTGAATTCATGGAGTCTGGGAACCAGAGAGAGCAGCTCATCAGAGCAGTTACCATGGAAGTATTTGTAAAAAAAGACAGAGAGAGGCGACGGCGCGTCTGTGAGAGAGTGACTGCAGACAAGACGCATATATATATATATATATATATATATATATATATATATATATAGATAGATAGATAGATAGATAGATAGATAGATAGATATATTTATAGATAGATAGATAGATAGATAAAGACAGAGACTGTAAGAGATTTTGATAACAGATATGTTAAAAGTGACTTTGATAGATAGATCGTTAAAGAGATGAGATGATATATAAATATATATATATATATATATAGAGAGAGAGAGAGAGACAGAGAGAGAGACAGAGAGAGAGACAGACACCAGACAGACAGACAGATAGAGAGGCAGAGAGACACAGAGAGAGAGAGAGAGAGAGAGAGAGAGCAATTCTTCAAGGTTCATATGTTAAGCAATGTCACACGACACTAAACTAGTATTGTTTTTCTTTTATTCATCAGCACAAGTGGCCGGTATTGACTGCAAATGGCTCTTCGACACCTCATTTTTTTTGTATAGATTATCAAATGACAAAGGGAAGTAACCACGCATGGATTTACTAGCAAACTTCGTTTCATCTCTCTTACAGAAATGTTTCCGTGGGATAAAATATATAACTTCCATGAGAAACTGACATTTACAATATAGTACTGATTCTTACGATATATATATATATATATATATACATCAATGTAAATGTTATTTTTAGTGGACACTCGTATTTGAGTAAGCGCTTCTTTTATTTATTACACAGTAGATGTGTTCGTTTGCACCCTGAGGCAGGAATTGAACCTCAGGTCAGAAGCAGCTAGCATTTAGCCCGGTGCGCTTTACCGCTTGGCCACGAAAGAAACTGCCGGATACTTTCATGATGTCAAGCGAAATATATCTGGGCAGTAAGTCTCTTTCTTTTTTTTTTTTTTTTTTTTTTGCTTTTTCTTTCATTCCAATTATGAGAATAAAACTAAAAGTCCTTTTCTTTACTATTATACCACTTACTATACTTGTAATATAAAGATGATAAATTGATTAACATTATGAAATGTATCCTCTATTGCTATACAACTGTTGGATTTATTAACGTCTTGAAAATAAAATTCGTCATGTAATCTCTCAAAGTGTTTTCATATCTACAAACGTAAACAAGGAGAATTTTTAGAATAGAATTTTATTAATTGAACATGCATCGCTTTACACGCTATTTTCAGTAGATACTCGTATTTGAGTAGACGTTCTGTTTATTTAACAAACAGTATATGTTATTTGTTTTCGAATAGTAGGCTGAATATTCAAGGAATCTTATTAAAGAAAAAATTCTGCCCTTCAGCAAGAATTGAAGCAGTGTCCCTTAGGGAAGAGGGATCCACCGTTTGGCCCGGAGCGCCTTACCACTTGGTCACGGAGGAACAGGCGTTCACGCGAAGCTAATTTAATGCTTTCAAGCGAAATTTCTCACCTCATAGTTATCTCTCTCTGTCTCTAATATACATATATATATATATATATATATATATATATATATATATATATATATATATATATATATATATACATGCTTCATTAACGACAACAGAATAGGTACAGCGATTAAGCTTTTTTATTTAATTTTTCTTCAGTTAGAACCAGTGTTTTTTTTTGTTTTTTATGGACACTGAGTGTGTAGAAACTCTCCAAATGTTCTACAATTGCGAGCTTTTTAGCCTATACTTTTAGCCATTATAAATTATGATTTTAATTTTCCTTTCTAACTGGGTGTATGGGTTGTGCGTATGTAGAGTTATAGCGATATTTATTTTCCAAGCATAATTAGTTAATATTATTGAGTGTTTTGATATATATATATATATATATATATATATATATATATATATATATTGTTGTATAAGAGCAAGTGTCGTTACCGACACTATGGTTTGAAACTAGGTCGCTAGTAACACAGGCGATTCCATTATTAAGTAGATCACGTGATCATAAAGGAAATGATTAAATAGGAAGTAGCGTGATGACTATACGATCACTGTTCACACTTTTTGTGTATCCACTATTGCTATGCGTTCTCCCTTTCTACTCTCCTACTATACGGATTATGGTTCTCTTCTGATCATTATACGTTTTGGCGATTACTACTTGAACAAGTATTACTTGTCCGGATGTCAAAGGGAAGGCGTAACTGCTAGTACCGGCGTCTACGAAGGCTCGAATATAACGAGCATTTTTGGATGTGATAACGAGCTTTCGTTTGATATAGCAAAAGTGACAATCGAAGCTTTCGAAGGAATCCCAATATATATATATATATATATATATATATATATATATATATATATATATATATGGGTGGGTCTGTGTGTCTGTGTTGTGTTGTGGCCTTGTTACGGCCAGAAATAAAGACACAAGATAGGAACTGAGTTAAAAAATATATATTAACAGAAACAGTCTTATAAGTATATTCGGTTCAACTGTCAGAGCTGACTGCTTGAAATTTCACTCTTCAAAAGGCAGTACCTGCTCCTATTTATAGGTGGGTGAGTCCATGCATGCTTGGGTAAGTTCCCCTCCTTCCAAACACGCTGTAGTATGACTTTATCCTCTCTGCCCGAAGGCACAGAGTTTGACTGTTTAGCCGAAAAGATTTCGGCTAGTCGGTATTTACTAGCCAGACTAGGGTAGATGTGGCCCAAGGCCGAGGTTTACATGGGTCTTCCGAGCCGGTATGCTCGGCCAAATATATTCCCTTTCGAACCCGTATAAACGAATTCAGGGTCAGTCTACATCTCCGGACGAAATTCTGCCCTTCGGTAGAGCATTGTCCGCGTTCCTCTCTGCTCAGAGGCATAAAGTTCGACTGCATAACCGAAAAAATTGTCTGGAGTCCGCTGACTTACAAATAATTATAGGAAGTTACTACCTATAGTGTAGTCACTCATGGGGGTGGCAGGTTATTCCATTACATCACATTATGTTAAAATTTGAGATAATTTGAGCGAGAACTGCCTGTTATTAGGCTACAAAATTACGAACATAACCAGAAATATTTATCAATCTAACATGTTTCCATTTTATTAAAACTTCATTAGAGAATAAGATACGGGCAGCAAAGCGAGAAAGAAAATCTGGTGTTTTGACTTTTGTGTTGTTTGATCTTCATTGATTAATCAGGTTTTCCGAACACTCGACTTGTTAATCAAACGTTAGTGTAATTTATGGCGTTTTGAATTGAAGGAGAGACGCAGTGTCTATTTGAGGTTCCAAGAAATATATATATATATATATATATATATATATATATATATATATATATATATATATTAGCAAGCACATTCACTGTTGCCTTGAGGGGAAATAACTTCAAATATGACAACACCGGAAATTGCATGTTCTTTCCTAGAACAAAATTAAAGAAAAATGATTTCCACTATTTCCATATGAAATAGCAGATAATGAAAAATAGTTTTACGTTCAAGATAAAACAAACGATGTTGACATGCCTCCTGGCTGCACACCGTTAGTGCATCTCTCATTGGCTGCCTGTGTGTTAAATTCTGTTTGGGTATATATACCAAAAAAAAAAAAAAAATGCAAGAAGAAGTTAAATTGACGATAAGAATCTTTTTTTTTTCTTTTTTTTTTACCATTTTCGTTGATCATAACCAAAATAGCGCGTTACGAGGAACTGAAGTCGCTTTAATACAAAGTGAAAGTCCGTTCAAATTATGGAGATCTAAAGAATGATTCTATCTTCTCTTTTTATCTTACTTTTGTTAGGATAGCTGCTTCTCTAACATTTTTAACATATCCCCCCATGTACGCCACTAAGATACAAGGGGTTACTGAGTGTGAAAGAATAAGAAAAAAAAGAGATGTAACAATAGAAGACGAGTAAAGATAATAGATAACGATAGACATTACATTGAACTATTTAAAGATTAAAGTTGGCTGCAAATAATGCAGACGGAAGAGAGTTGCACAAGCGAGAAGTACGAGAAAAGAAACTATTCATCTGTAAACTGATGAGCTCTTGCCGCCACTCTAGTACTACTGGTAAATAATAATTCCAGACTTATTTTTAAGAGTTTATTTTGGGTCAGACCTTTAAGGTCAGATGGTCGACAAAATAGGGATGTCGATTTCGATTGGCAGAGCCGAATGTTAGAGAGATAGAAAATGATTTCGGGGAGTTAAGTTTTTACACGTCAAACACAGTAGACGTTGTTATTTCATGTCTCAAGGAACTTGTTCCCCAGTGGGTTTGATAGAGCAACCCCACTGGCTAGTTAAAAATACCTTTTGTTGAGGCTCCCATTTTACTCCCGAAAAACCAACTAGCGACCACCGGGCCGAGAGAAGAAAGAGAAGTTATGGAATCGACCCTGTCAAACAAAAGACCTCCCTAGACTGAAGGGGATATGCAACACTACGCTTAAATTCATTAAGTACAAGTATATATATTTCATATATATATATAGGGTGTAACAGCAAAATTGCCCAAATCGTGTAAAAACAAAATTTTCCATTTGTTAGATTAGGCTTTGAACCGTTGTATCTTAGAAATGATTAAAGATATATTACTGGAATTCTCCTGGGTTTTTATAACAAAATTAGACTCTACTGCGAGCAATAAGAATGTATAATTACTCTCCAAATTTTACCGAACAATCGTGATGAAATCGATCATAAACGAAAATGACATGTTCGTCATTAATTAATCATAGCTAAGGATCGGATGCTCATGAAGGATTGAAATAAAGTTTATTTATATATATATATATATATATATATATATATATATATATATATATATATATTTATAATTGTGTTATTCCGTACCTATGAATATTAATGGGTAAGACTAAGTCCTCATGAAGACATTAGATACTATTGTCGTGGTGGTAAATTGCTGTCTAATTAATCCACGACTGGCAGTGGTTTACCTACTTCAAGCCGCTGGCGAGTATTGTATATTTTGTTGATGTTATAAAGATTACCATTTTATTTCTGTTATGGTCCGGTTCCTTGTACCACGGTGTTAGTCCAAGGTAGAACCAATAAAGAAGAACTCGAATACGGATATGGAATAACACAGATATATTACAAACAGGAACATATATATAGAGAAGTAGAAAGTGTTAGTACGAACAATCAGGTTTAGTAGTAATTGTCTGAACGCGACTCTGTTTCGGACTGCTTCTGACGCGACTGACTGACTCGCTCTGACTGATTGACAGACTCCTGACGGACCTCACTCCAGACTTCAGACTGGATTCTCTGCTTCTCTTGAGGCGCAGTATTTATTACGTATGGAAAAACCCATTATGTTATTATGGGTAACGTCCCATAACAATTTCCAACCACTGTTTTGGTTATTCGTCATTCAGTAAACCTCTCTAGGTTAGAAACAATATTGT